ATGATATGATATGATATAATTATTATGATATAAATATAATGGTTTATATCCCAAAGCAAGTCAGCCAAATCCCTGTCTTTGAGTCATTCTGACTCATGGTAAACCACTGTTGAGTGTCCAAGGCTGTGAGTTTTTCCTAGAGGAGATTGCCATCTTCCACCTTTAGAGCAACTGGTGGATTTGAACCACCAAGTTTTCACTTAGCTCACATTATATGCTACATTGTACATTACCAGTGTGTCTTTATGTTATTATTTATGTGTCAATAGTTATTTAAGTCATTCATAGCAATCATTGAGTAGAAGAATTTGAGTAGTAAAATAAGAGTATTGAAGTATAATTAACACTGTGTAATATTTGCTTCATAAATAGCAGATGGCCTCGTGGATGTGGAGTTATGCTTCCAATCTAAAGGCATGTGGTTCAAATCCACCAGATCTACTGTGAGAGAAAGATGGGCATTCTTCTCCCACATGAATTACAGCTTCTGAAAACCCACTGGAGAGTCAGCTATTCTGACTCAAAAGCAATGAATAGATATGAATTATATGTTTTACCACAAAAAGAGCAGATCACTGTTACTCTGTATAATAATTGAAATGATAGCTAACATTTAGTAAATATTCAGTACAACAAAGTGTTTTCTAGAAATTAAATCATTTAATTAAACTAAACAAAGAATGGAATACCGTCCTGATGTTTAACTCATATACCTGTCTATTGTTTGACTGAAAGTCATCCATAGGGATGAGTTCATTTATAGAAATTATTTTTTTATTTGTAATTGTGAATAGAATGAAGGTTTACACAGCATATCAGTTTGAATTCAAGAATTATTTTTTTTAATATCATTGATTGCAATCCCCACAAGGTAACGTAACACATTTAACTTCCTACCAGTGATTGCAGTTTCCATCTCTCCTTGCCTAATCCTTCCTACCTTCTCATTTAATCCTCCGGCAGATATTCTCAAATATTCATACCTCCCTACTACTGTTGTTTTCCTTTTAAACCTGTCTATTGTTGGTCTGAAAGTTCAATTTCAGACCTATAAGGATCATAGTCTTCATCTACAACAATGAATGAATGGAAATCCAAAGCCTCTGTAAATTTTCACTGAAATTAATAACAAATTTAAATTTAAAAAAGGAATTAAGTTAGAGTAAGGATGGCAATGGAACCACCTTACCTCTGTAACTTGATTTGTGCCACTATTAGAACCTCTACTCAGAATATTATTGCTTTTCAATTTTTG